CCCGAGAGGAGATAGGGCAGTGTGTATCACTTTCCCTCACATCCTGCTGCTTTAGACTCACAGTGAACAATCGAAGGTAGGATTTTAGCCTGTCGCCTGGAGTATGGAGACCACCACCCAGAAACACAGACGGAAATGAGAGCTGATGCCCATGGCAGCGGGGTGGCGAGCAGGAAGACCGCCACCTTCCTCGGAGCCTCGCCTCGTTTCACAATGTCCATCCCTCCGTGCCACCTTCTATGTACAAACCTTTTTTTTTTTTTTTTTAACAGAGAACACCTGTCTACGGGAGGCTCACATGTGGGATCCCAGCCCCTCCATTTCTTCAGAAATTGCTAGCTGCCCTCTAATGCTTCAGCCCTTCAAACTGCTGCTCTGGTGTGAGACTTGTGCAAAGGGAAGAAACGATACAACCTGAAACACTTAAGTGCAGCGAGCGGGTTGTTCTGTTCTGGGCGGACTCTCAGGACCTGCTGCTGTTCGAAGGTCAAACGGCACCGCCAGCACCAGCCAGCACCAAGCTGCAGCTGCAGGGAGCCCAGAGCTCTGGCCTGGGGGGAGGCTGCCTCGGTCCGTCCCACCCTCCTCCCTGTTGGCTTTGAAGGAGCCTCTCTGCAGTAAATCTGGAAAGAACCCTGCATTTACAGGGAAAGGGGACATGTTCGGGAGTTGCTTTGCGTAGCCCAGTGGGTGTGGGGTGGCGTGGGGAGGGGCAGATAGAATGAGGTAAGTGTAGAAGCCCGGCCCATGGCCTTGTTTTAATGTTTGCTTGGATATGTTTGAAAAACGCCATAATCACTTTTTTAAAAAGCAGCTCGCGGTCCTCCCGGGTGGCGCAGTGGGTGAACGCACAGCACTCAAGCGAGCGGCAGCCTCTTCAGTGTGAGGTCAATTCCCCCCACCGCACCCCCCGCCCCAGGGAGTGACCCACAGGGTGCAGCAGACCTCTCCTGTGTCCCCGCTGCTCCCCTCAGCAGTGGATTTCAGTGCATCTGCCTGTCCTGCTCCCCGCTGTCTCTGGTGAAGCCTCTCACCCCCCGCACCTTTGGCCTGTGCCCCAGTTCTGGGTGCATAAATAAGGAAAAAAAAAAAAAAACCCAGCATCTCCACCTCAGTTCCTCCTTCTCTGCTGGCCCAACCACCAAATCCCTGCCCCCCGAAACCCCGGTCATCGTATGAACTGAGCAGGTGACAAAGCTCTCCTGCAGCAGCTCCTGTCAGGCAGCAGGTGCTTGCACTCAGGCCTCTCCCATCTTACATGGACAGCTGCCCGCATCCCGTGGCCCTCTCCAGACCCCTCTTTCCTCCTTCATCGTCAAGCGTCTCCTTTCCTCCAACGGACCCATTATCCAGGGTGCTTCCCTCATGCCATGAAAGCTGCTTTCTGCTAATCTCCAGTCTCTACCTCTGCTTGAGTCCGGTTCCCCTCGGTAGGGGACCACCTTCTGTGACAACCGGCTCCTTGCCTTTCAGGCCGCCCACCTGCCTCTGAAACACCAAACTGACGCCATGACAGGCTTCAGAAGGCTTCCGAACCAGCCAGGCCGAAGCTTCGGTTATCAACAAGGCGCCAAGGCCGAG